TAAGTGAGGCCAAACCATGTGGAAGCCAACAGCCACTCAGCTGTCTGCAACAAGGGCTCCAGGATGTGCTCTGAAACTCATTGAACTCGGTCAAATCCTATGGGACACAAACAGACAAAACTCCCACCTAAGTGTCCTGGAGCAGGGACTGGGTCTGCACCATGGCAGGAATAGGCAGGCCCTGCTGCACTGTCTGAGAACTCTGCATTGTTCCCCACTGTCTTTATCCTCCCTGATTTGACATGACACAGCATATTCATGCATCCTGTTACCACACCGCACCCTATAAGTTTGTACAATTAAAATCATAATTCAGGCAGGGGAGAGAGCTCAGCAGTCTAAGTGCTTGCCTGGCAAATGCAAGGACCAGGGTTGGATCCCTGGTACCTCCAGCCATGCAAGCCCCTGCACCAAGCTGGCCAACAAAACCAGATGTGGTGGTACAGCCTGTAACCCCAGCACTGGGGAGGCTGAGTCAGGAGTATCACTATGAGTCTGAGCTGCACAGTGAGACCCTGTACCAAATAAATAAATAAAGGATTTTAAAAAATCATAACTTATTGAAAGACGTAAAATTTAGAAATGTACGAGATACATGAACTCAACCCCTATAAGCAGTAAAGAAACTGAAGTCTGTAGAAGAGAAGTAGCTTGCTCCAGTTCTCAGGATACAAATATCCTGGCCAAGCAAGAGAGAAGAGAGAGGTCTGTGAAGGACCAGTGAGACCACGGTGGGCCCTAGAGAGGCTGGGAAGTGCGGCAGGGAGGTGGGCTGCAGGGCAATGCAGGGGTCACATGCACTCCACAGGTCACCCACTGGTGTCCTGAGAAAGGCTGCGGAGCTCTTTGTGCCCCCGCCATGCCCTCTATGATATGGGGCTGCATGTGGCTTCTTCCTACTACAGCACTGAAGACCGGATGTTGGCTAATGCATTAAGCACGGTCAACGCATCTGTGAGATTCTTGTGCCATAGGACTAGTTGATCCTCAGCAGCAGGACCCCAATTCTCTCTCT